TGAGGGCCGATAAATAGAGGGATTGTAAAACAAAGTGCAGGTTGGGCAGAAAGAAAGGAACCTGATTATTGTTGGGATATTTCATTGTCCAGCCGCACGGTTCCTACTGTGGCTAGGCATCCTTGTTTTCCTGAACAAATACTCCCCTAGTCTTGACTATACCTCGATTTTGCTTTTTGGGGCAGTTTCCGACTTTGTAGCCTTCTCCACCGCAATACAAGCATAAATTTTCCTCCATACGTCGCTTTTTTTCTTCTATAGTAAGAGATTTGATACGTATCGCATCAATTTGCATGTCTTCCACCTCTGAATGCGAATTCACACCGCTTGCCGACATAGTTGGAGCATGGCGAATTGTATGTTGTCTTGAGCGTTGGTCTTGGCGACGTTGGAATAGGCGATTATCACACTTCACAGCTTGGCTAATGGCTTCATTGAGCGTTCGTGGATCAGGAAGAGTTAACAGCAAATCCTTCACATCATCTCTTAAACCCCAATAGAATTGACTCATCAACGCTTCTTCATCCCAATTGATGTCGCATACTAATTGCCTGAAATCCGAAGCATAGACTGATGTAGAACGCATCCCTTGTCGTAGCGACCAGATCTTTATTGTAGCCCATCGAACCTTATCGTGTTCACCAAATGCTTCCGCAAATGCTTCCAAAAAGGTTTCGAAGTTGTTTAATATGGATGATTGTTTCTCAAACAAAGGAGCAAACCATGATAGAGCTTGTCCCTTAAGTAAGGTTCCAACAAGCCCAACACGTGACTCCTCCGTTGGATATCGTTCGGGCTGTAAAACTGTTATCAACCTGATTTGATTGACGAATCCTCGAAACTTGGAACGTGTTCCATCAAACTTATCTGGAAGGCTAACTCAAGGCTCCTTATGTTGTAGAACTAGTGATTCTTGTCGAACTTGATATAAAGTTGTTTCTCCAAGTGCCAAAATTTGAGGCTGGTGTAGTTTAGATTGTGCTATCCTAGATACTCCATCATTATGAAGCCTTGCCACCACTCCTTCAATCTCTGCAGTTCTTTGTGATAACGTAGCGAGGGCATTCATAATAGCATCTAACTTAGACTCCGAACTTTCTGTCATACTAATGTCTTGACCTCTGGCCATTCTAAAAGAAGGACAAAAATGACCCTATAAAAGGCAATATTGGTTTATAGGAGGGTAATCCACAACCTATAAAATGCCTTAAGAATTTTAAGAAGAGGGGTAATCCACTCTCTCCAAGAAGAATAAGACTCCAATATTGTAACAGAAGAAGTATCAGTTTAGAAGAGGGTAATCCGCAACCTCTAAAAAATGCTAGTATACCTTCAAGTAGAGGGGTAATCCACACTCTGTTAAGAAAGAACTAGCTCTGATATCTCAAGTTAGTGTAGTCTCAACAAATTGTCACGGACACAAAATACAGACTTGAAATCTAACAAGAAGTTCAAGAAGAAGTGGCAAAACTAGATTAAACAGATGAGTACAAGAACAACACCAGAAAGGTGAGCTAGAACTCCAAGAGATGTGTTGTCGAGACTGAAGAACTCTTCAGCCTCGATCCCTATATATACTCCTACTTAGGAAGCTTCTCGAGCTACTTCTATTAACTAGGAAGCTTCTAGAAGATTCCAGAGGCTTCCTTTCTAGAAGGTTCTAGAAACTTCTAGAGCTACTTCTATTAACTAGGAAGCTTCTAGAAAGTTCCAGGGGATTCCTTTCTAGAAGCTTTTAGAAACTTCTCTTCTAGAAGGTTCCAGAGACTTCCCTTCTAGAAGCTTCTAGAAACTTCTCTCTAAAAGGTTCCAGAGGCTTCTCTTCTAGAAGGTTCCAGAGGCTTGTTTTCTAGAAGGTTCTAGCAACTTCTCTCTAGAAAGTTCTAAGAAATATGTCCCTAATATAATGAAGAAGAGTTGAACAATCCATGTACTAATTTGTGATGATGGATGAGTTGATTTAATAAAAAGTTGGATCTATTTAACATGTTTCTTTATTTAGCATATTATTCTTGAATTATATGCTAGACTATTTTATATTTTTAATTTAATGAATAAATTATTATGACAAAGCTTTTATGCTACAAACTAAAAAATATTTATGCTACAAATATCATGTATACAAGACATAATTATAAAGTATAATACAACCTAATAAGCAGGAATAAAAAAGACTTAATTAAAACATTTGCTTTGATTTCACTAGTTTAAATTAGTATTGTGTTGTATCATGGCTATTCAATAAAAGAATGAATGAATATTAATATATATAGGAAGATTTAATTAAAATATTAATAAAAGACTATTTAGATGTCATAAATAAATAGAAGATAATAGAAAATTTAATACTTTACGTTTTTTTTTATAAGTTTATACCAAACATTTTTGGTATTTTTTGTAGAATCATAATTGAAGCAAACATAATAGAATAAACAAAAAACCATTACAAACACCTTTATATAAAATACAAGAATATCTTTTAGTAAAAAATACCAAAAATAATTTTAAATTAATACCTAAAAAAGATATAAGATGAAATTAAATTGAAATCAAAATATAAGATATAAAATTAGGTACTTCCAACAAAGGTGGGATTTTTTTATTGATTAAAAAGTAAAACAAGAGAAGAGACTTTAAGAGGATTATACAAGTGTTAGATTTATATAGATTGGATTTAAAATTACTTTGTAAGAGCTAATCAAAATTAAGGTATTTGTTTTGACAAAAAAAAATTTGAGTAATAAATTACAATCTATATTTTCATCAATATTATGAACTTTGAGATAGATTTGCAATAGATAGTTTGCAAGTTTGTACAAATACTTGTCATCAATTTAAATCTTAAAATTTATCTTAATTGATTGCTTAAGTTTAAAGTTATCAAAATTTAAGTATATAAGCATATCAATGATTGGTAGTTTGAAGGTCATTAAAGATACCAATATTTTGTAGAGACTTGGCTATAGGTTTGAATTAAAATTTTGCAAACTAATAGTTAATTTGAAGTATAAGATCCTCACTAAGTTTGAGGACAAACTAACAATAAAAAGAAGATATTTTATAATTAAAAATTTAACATCAAAATTAAAGAAGGAAGTTGCTTAATACTTGAATAATTTTATGGTATATTGAATCAATATACCATAAAATTACAATACCATAAATAACAATTTTATGATATATTGGCTCAAAATCATTAACTAACTAAAAAAATTTAAAGTTTTGAAGTTGTAGTTTGATACTTAGGATTTTTTTTAGGTTTTTTTTTATATTTCTTAGCATTCTATTAGATTTGATAGTATTCTATTAAAATTTATTTAAGATTTCTTTAAGATTTTTTAAGATTTTTTTTTATAATTTAATAGATTTTGATTAAATTTTAATAAAAATTTATTTTGAGATATTTCCAAGATTTTATTATTTTTCTATTTAAAAATTTATTAGAATTTTTTTTTAAAAAAAAAATCTTAATATCATATTAGGTTTGAAAATGTTTCATTTGAATTTACTTAAGATTTCTTTAGGAATTGATAAAGTTTGATTAAGATTTAGTTAGAATTTCTATTCAAATTTGATTAGAATTTGTTTAAGATTTCTACAAGATTTCTTTTAAGATTTGTTTAAAGATTATTTAAGATTTATTTGGAATTTACCTTGGATTTGATAGAGTTACTTAGAATTTATTTAAGATTTCTTTAAGAATTATTAATGTGTATTTAAGATTTTTTTTAGATTGTTTTTGATTACTTGGATTTACAATTTATAGTTGATGGAATTCGGAGTTAATTAAGTTTGATATTTCTAAAAATATTAAGATTGTCAAGATAAGAGTTTTTAAACACTTAATTTATTTTTTGGGGTTGTAAGTAGAATTTTTGGATTTAAATAAATTCTTTCAATAATTAGATGTCTAATGCATTCTCAAACTGTAACTTACATAACACAATGAGAGATTCGCCAAATCAATGAAGTACATGCAATTGACTGCTAGACAAAAAGATTTGAGATGCACTTTTACAAAACATCTTAATTGCTTTGTTTCTTCTTTAAACAACCCTCGCCCAACTTCTCTTTTTTAAACTCCTTTAAATTTAATATTACTTTTTTGAAGTTTTGTTTGCATTATTTTGTGGTGAGAGTAATTTGCAACCCATATATTTTTGTTTAATAAACTATTTGTAACAATAAATTATTTGGAACATTGAATTGAATGCATGGTGAAAAGGCATAACCATCAATGTGCAAGATGTCGCCGCTTTCTACGTCTCTCACGTAATAGTTTACACTCATGCATGTTTCTGTTCCCACTCCACGCACAATTCTGAAGGTAAATGTGTTGCTATTCTTTAACATACTGGCTGGGGCAGATCTCTACTACTAACCTCTGAATCCAGTAAAGTAATAAGACAGTTCATCATAAAATGTGATGTATCTTGAGACTCCAATTGCTAGTAAACCACTCAATGAAGAAGAATTTCAGATGATTAAAGCGCTTTATCGACGTTGCGAAATACTACAAAATCATGCGAACCGAACTTTAAAAAAAATAATGCTAAATTTAAAGGAGTTTGAAAAGGGGAAGTGGGTTGGGGGGTTGTTCGAAAGAAGAAGTAAAGCAACTAAGATGTTAGGTAAATTTGCAGCACAAACCTTTGTGTTGAGCATGAAAGCATTGACATTCGCATGCACCTCGTTTATTACATTCCAGCACGAATTTGATTACCTTCTTGTGAATGGCAGAGTCTCCATGATACATGACGAGCCGGTCCAAATTCATACTGGATTCAGTCAACTTCCCGATCATAACCCTCGTGTTGGGTGTGGGGCCAATTGTGAACATTAACTACGTCTTCCGCTGCAAAGTAGGGGTTGACCCACATCTGATCTCATCCTGTAAACCCTGGGAGAGACGCGTCTTCGCCTCATCCTCCAAAAAGTGATGCGACCATCCGCAGAAGACACAAGCATGATGCTAACACTTGTCCCCGTCACATACCGCCGTGGCCGCAACACTAACAGTCTCTCCACCCCCGTGTCCATTCCTTCCCAATTCACTCTTCATTTGTTTGCTTCAAATGCCTGTTTCCTGAACCCCTGAAACCCTCTCTAAAGATCTCCATCTTCACAGGCACGCGCTACGCGTGTCACTAGATATAAACTGTTCGCTTGCATTGAGGCTACAGCTTGCCAACAACACTCACAATGCTCGCCGAGACAACAACCACGGCCAACTCAATACCTCGGCGAGCAAACCAGGGCCGGAATCTGAAGGCGATGGGTGTCAGGTTCTAGGTTTAGGAGAAATCGAACTGTGTGTGAGTAGGAGGAAGTTAGCAAGAGGCGGGTTGAAACAGCCAACGGCAAGTGAAGGTCGGCGTGGATGGACAGATCTACAAGTACTCTCAGATGAATTCAATGGGCACTTTATGAAAAGAGCAACTCAGTCAGCGTGGCATTATTCTCCTCGAATCTTTAGTTCCTTCACAATTGTTACTAAGTTTGGTTTCACGAAACAACAATCCTGGCATCAAGCAAGTAGAATATTCAAACCTGTCTATGGCACGCACAACCCACGTTGTGAATAGATTGCTGCGAGAACATGATGTTTCTTTGGCACAACGTTTGAAGAGGTCAGTACGGAGAGCTTTGAGTGGACGGAATTGCTGCATATGGTTGGGTGTTTATGGGTTTGTGCTGATGCCACAGGTGCATTTCTCTTCACTTGGTGTTGTGTCTGTAAATTTTTAGTGGTATCTGAAGAAACCAATCGATCTGAAGAATACTGTGATAATACGGTTGGTATGGATGAAATTAAATGCAGTCTAACATTTTATTTTGAGGCTTAAATATCAAGTTTCCAGTTGAAGTGTATGTGGCTGTGTTGTTTGTGTGACGGTTGCGGGTTTAGGAGTTTTGCAGTACACCGGGTTGTCGCACATGAGAGTGCGTAGAAGGAGTCTGTCCTTTTCCTTGAACAGCAGTATGTATTGAGGTAACAGCTACGCTTTTGTGGTTGCTTCTGTGAATCCTTCTTGTTCAGACATTGTCAGACGATGTTGTAGGATTCACTCTGGTTCTTCGATTATTGTAGGAATTTGTGTTTGATAACCTGGCGATTTTTTTCTAGGGCAGAGTCATGGATAGCAGAGACGAGGAAGTGAGCAAGCCCTTAGTTGCTTACTAGCCCCGCCTGCTTAATATGTTGCCTGCGAAAGCGTCTCAGTATTGTAAGATGTGAATATCTGATTTTACAGGCAGCAACAGCGATGGAGTCCGCCGGTTCTCCTATTCGTAGTCGTCATGTCACCGGCGTCCGCCCTCCCGCCGAATATCCTCCTGGTACGTTCGTGTTTATCGTTTACTCTCTGTCTCTGCTCAAAGACCACTTCTTGAATTTGAGTCATGGTGTCGGGTTGTAGGTGTACGTTTCATAGCTTATTACCAGCTTCCAGTTGCGATTGGTTTGTCTTCACAATCATTAATTGACGTGCAGGCACTGGATTTGCAACCGGGCACATATCACTTGGTGAGGTTGATGTGGTGCAAGTTGCAACGTTTGAGGAAGTATGGAATGCCCTCGAGGGTGGGGTAGCGAACAAGGGTGCCACCTTCTACAAACCAGTTGATGTCCCAGTAGGGTATAGTATTTTATCCCATTATGCGCAGAACAATTCAAGAGCTAGAGCGGGTTGGGTTCTTGCTATAAAAGAAACTGGCAGCCGGCCTGCACCGCCATCGCCATCACCACCATCTTCCTCATCGTCGTCTCCTTCGCCACCATCGTCGCCACATGCCTCCTCTGGCAGCCTAAATCCGTTTACGAGTCTGATGCTAACCTTGAAGAAAGGCGCAACTGACGTCGTCTCCTATTCATTGGTCGGGTTACCTCCAACCTCAACTGATACTTCACTGAAGACTTCAACTGATGTTTCACTGGAAGTATCAGAGGAAGATATCAATTCATATGCGCAGCTCGCTGTAATTCCGAATGTAGCTTTCACTGAAGAAGCTGAAGAAAACCTCGATCCCTTCGCGGATTATGTTTTTGTCTCGAATGCAACCGAAACCGAGACTGTGCAGCCAGGCACAAGTCCACAGAAAGACTCTTCAAAATCTATCGTGGATTTTGTGTCATCTCATTTATTTGCTGGCCCAGCTTTGAAAAGTCCTGTGGATTATAAGCTGATCTGGGAGAGCTCTAAATGGACTGGGAAGAAAAATGGCAATGGTTGGGTCTGGTTACCGATTGCTCCTGAAGGATACTCAGTTCTTGGATATATAGTAACAAACACCGAGAATAAACCTACGTTTTCAGAAGTGACTTGTGTACGCACTGATCTCACGGATATTCTGGAAATTGATAGCAAATTCTTCACCACAAGCGGCACAAGCAGACAAGAGATTGGTTTCCCTTTCAGCGTGTGGACCACGAGACCTGCTGTTAGAGGAGTGAGCGCAGCAGGTGTCAATGTCGGCAGCTTCTTCTGTGACCGATCTGATCAAGCAGAGACTTCTCTTCCGATTGCATGCCTCAAAAATGTATTATTCAATCTGGGTTACTTGCCCACGATGGCACAAGTAAACTCTATACAACAGTTTTTTGGACCCAGTGTGATCTTTCATCCGACCGAGCAGTTTCTGCCTAGTTCCGTTGCCTGGTTCTTTGACTCGGGAGCAATGTTGTACACGAAAGACTCTACTATTCCTCCTGTTCGTGTTAACAGTGATGGTTCAAATCTGCCTCAGGGAGGGACTAATGATGGTGCTTTCTGGATAGATCTTCCTAAAGATGGAAGTAGAGATACAGTGAAGAAAGGGAACTTGGAGACTGCGAAGGTGCATATTCATCTCAAACCAGTTTACGGAGCTACTTATACTGATCTTCAAAGCTGGTTGTTTTGTCCTTTCAACGGACCAAGTACTGCTAAGGTGGGAAAGGTGAACATTCCTCTGGGACGTCTCGGAGAGCATGTGGGTGACTGGGAGCATTATACGTTGAGGGTTAGCAACTTCACTGGAGAAATGGAAGCAATTTATTTTTCTCAGCACAGCAAGGGTCAGTGGGTGAATATCTGGGACCTCGAATTTGACGCTGTCAACAAGCCCCTCGTGTATGTTGCCAAAAACGGCCACCCTTGTTATCCTCACCAAGGGGATCACCTTCAAGGAGATGAGAGTCGTGGAGTTGGACTGCGGAATGACACAGCTCTTAGCACTATAGTGCTCAACTCCTCAGTGAAATTTCAGGTATGTAATGTTGACTGGAGCTTTCTTATGCTGTACCGTCAAATAAGTGTCGTCCAGCACTTCGGCAGCCCTCTCCACCTGCTGTATTGTCTTGAAGTGCTGACTTGTGCACCCTACACCTATAAGCTTTGGACGATATAGATTGTTTTGTGGTTCATTTCTGTTCTATCGATTTTTCCAGACTTTCTGTTTGTGATTTCAAAAGTAAGTGTGGTCCCTGTTTTGTTCACGTTACGAGACTGGATGTTTGATTCATGTGCAGGTGTTCTCCGCCGACTACATGCATCAAAGGGGTGATAAAGATGCACCTGAAGAACCAGCCTGGCTACAGTACATGCGAGAGTGGGGTCCCAAAATTGAGTATGACAAAAAAAAGTATCTCGATAAATTTTTGAAGTTCCTGCCTTCAAAACTCCGTAACTCTCTGGAAGAAATTTTAGACAAGCTTCCCAGCGAGGTCATGGGTGAAGAAGGTCCTACAGGACCAAAAGAGAAGAACATGTGGTTTGGCGACGAGAGAATTTAGTGATACACATGTTGTGAAGACAGGACTGGTTCGCAGCGGGGTTCACCTAAAGATCCTCGGTAGATGATTTTAGAATCTGACAATTTAAGCACAATTTTTTTCAACTCGCTGTTGCTTTACACTCTATTCTGAATGTATAGTCTGATCTAGAGAATTGCGTTCGGATCGCCAGCAATTCTTTACACTGTCAAAGTTTACATTACTATACTGTGCTATTTACAGCAATGACAAGCAGGGATTAATGCTCATTGCAAATTACCAGTTTGAACTTGTGCCAGCAGCTTGTGCTGCCATCCTGGCATTATTCAAGGTGATACCTTCTATGTCCAGGCCTTTTACTGAAACAATTCTAGCTGCATTCTGTACAGAGCGATCCCTCAGGGTGGGGAATCGCCCGCATGTAAATCAATCAAGCCAGAGCTCTCTTTTTTGAGTAAGTTTCTGCATTTTGTATATTGGGTATGCCTCCTCCTCCTTCACTTGCCCTCATTTTCTTATCGTCTCGAATGTTCTTAATCTTCCAAATTTTGTCTGCCATAGATTCCTTGTGCGCCATCTCCCTGTACTTCCTTTTCCCTTAGATCATTCGGTCTCTAATCCTTGCCTCTCTTGCGTCCTACATCACCATGCAATGTGGTGTTGATTGTGTAATCCTGGGTTAGAAGGACTGCTTTTTTCAGAAAATTGTTGTCATAGATGTATTGTTATATTTTTGTAATAAGATTTGAATTAAAGAGTATTTTAAGTATTCTTTTGGTATTTCCTACAGTAATTTTTAACATTATATTTTCCTTATAAAATTCAAATTTGATTACATGTAAATTTATGTAATAGATGTGAGAATGATTCTATAGTCTTTTAATATAGAAACATTAATTATGCATAACTTAAATCAATAATTTTATAGTTGTACAAAGAATGAATGAAAATTATTCTTTTTGTGATGTATAATTATTATAAAAATATTTCTTTCTCCATTTATAATTTATAAATTTTGATTTTCTAAACACTTGAATATAACCATTTTAAAATATACATCATTTTAAAAAAGATTCCATTCTTTTATCTATATGTTATTTTTTAATGTTTTTTTGTACATTAATGTTCTTAATAACTAATAAGACTAACAAAACCAAAATTAGATTTGTATTTTTAAAAAATAGAATAGACTATTTTTTTTCTTCAAATTATTTAAATCAATTTAGAGGTTGTAAATTAGCTTTTTTATATTAATATTGTCTTTACACTTCTAATTCTTATTTCAAAAGAATTAATTTCTGATTGATAATTATATATATATATATATATATATATATTAATGTAGTCCATAGTAATCTTTCTTCCAATTGGTACCATTTTGACTAACTAGGTCTAATCTCTATTGCTTAGTTTTTAAATATGTATGCACTCTTTATCACCAATAGGTTGTTGTTGATGTAGAATCTAAAAGCTCTTTGCAACATCTATAAAGATAGAAATTAATGTTTGGCATAAGGAGTATATTATCTAATTGCCTTAGATTGTCTCTTATTTTATTTTCTACTTCAAGGGCATTTCATTTCTACAAAATCTGTAGATTTTGTATGGTAGTACCTTACTTTTTGCCTTACTTCTTATTTGTTGTGTTGCTCTATTTTTATTAGATTTTACATAATCCAAGTTTTAAGAATTTATTTGTTGAACAATTTAATTTATGTTAATATCAAAATGGTGTCTTTGATTGTCATTTCATGTACCAACTTTGTTGCTATAATTTGTGCTCTTCTTTTTCTTTTCTTTTCTTTTTTCTTTTTTAGCTAAAAATTAATTGATTGATAATATGAATTGAATAACCTTTCTATTTATTTTAATTAAGGTATCAAAGACAAATGCATCCAAGGTTTTTGATACAATTTTTATTCAAGAATCTGCTTGGATTTAGGTTTTATTAAATATAGTAATATCATGCATATCAAATTGTCTCTTGAAAATTTACTAGTGTGAATCTTTGAGATTTTTTACTTTTTTTCTTCTTCTTCTTCTTCTTTTCTTGTTTCTCTTGATTTTTATTTTTATTTTTATTTTTTTTTCGTAGATATAGTGTTCTCATGCTATTTGTTTCTACTCAAGCTTGTTATAGGTATAAAACAAGAATTAGTACAAGTATCAATTTTGGACTCTATGCTTGGTCATCAATGTTTATTTGGCCTCTAATATGTACAACTCCTTTTACTTCAATTTTTTCCAGAATCTCTTCTTTTTTATTTTAATTACCATCTCATTTTGTTTATAGGAATTACATGCAATATTTCTTGTATTTCTAATTAAATAAGATGCTAGTGATTAATGTGTTCCAGCACTTGTTGCTTCTTATGCAAATGGTATCTTTTTGTCTACATTGTCGTGGTTTTAGAATTATTATGTTATAATCAAGATTGATTTTTTTCCCCTTTTAACTAGTATAAAAATCTTGTTTTTTTTATTAATAATAATACCTTTAGGAATTTATTTAGACTATCTTAATATGTAATGTCTATAAAAAACCTAAATATTAAATATGTAATGTTAATTCCTAATTTTATATAACTTTTGCATCAAAATTTAGTATTCTTATTTTTAGAATTATAAATTCCAATTGTAGTTTAACAATAAAAGTATATATATATATATATATATATATATGATAAAGTGATCCAAATTTTCACTAAATCGACCCACATGCCCCATTCATAGCCGTTCTTCTATTCCCAACCATTTTCCTATTTCCAACCATTACCTTGTTTTCAATCATGGGCCCCATTTCCAATGTTCTCAACCCCCTCTTCCCATCTTTAACAATGGTTGGAAACGGGGAACATCTAAGAGTAGGGATGGGACTCTAAGGGTGCAATCATGCTTAAGATAGAGTGAATTACTTTAGTAAAAATCTATGTTGCTTCATCATTCTCATATATATATATATATATATATATATATAAATGTAAAAATGTCTTATGTTTAATCTTAAAGTTGCTTTAATGTTTTTAGAAAGTTGAGTAAGCCATTGAAGAAATTAACATGCTTATAATTTTCTACCATCTAAACATAGAATAATAATATGAATAATCAAATATTCTATTTTTGCTTATACTATGGATTTGAACAAAAAAGAAAATATGCTTTGCTCATTGAATAATTACAAGAAAAAACTTATCACAAATAAAAGAGGTTGGATTTAGCTATTCTTGTTTTTGGTGTAGCTAAAAGCCCTCTACAAATTTTTGCAAATCTTTATTATTTGATAAATCTTTATTCAAGCCAATTTTTAGAATTAAGACTTGGATTTTTTTCTTCCTAATATTCTAAAAGAAAATAGCATAAGTCATGTTGGAATCTATATGTTTGTTATATTTTATTTTAATATTTATTTTATGGTTTCAATAAAAAGAACATGAAAAAATAAATAATTAAATTATAAATTATAATGTAATGATACAATTACTTGTACCATGACTTCAATAATGTCTATTTAATAGACTTTCCATGTAGCATTTTTGCCATCAATTACAATTACAAAACCTAAAAATCCTAATATAGGCCAATATTAAACAAATTAAATTATTATTTTAATAATTTTATTAAAATATAAAATATTAATATTACATAGATATTGTACATTATTAAAAATATAAATTGATTGAAGAATTAAACCAAAATGATAGTGTTTAAAAATTAATAATTGTTTATCTACAAATTCAAAAAAAGTTTTTTGAAGAACTTGTAAGCAAAAACTATTAGTAATTCATTTTTAGTCACCATATTGATAACAAGCTTTTCTACTAAATTGGGAGGATTGAATTACCAAGAAGATGGAAGTAATATTTTAAATGCATAAAATCTAATAATATTCAAAAAATTGGTAAACTTAAGAATTCAATTATTTGGCCCAAAGCAGTGTGAAATAATAACAGAGATAATAATTTATAATTACTGGCCCAAAGAGGCATGTCAACCAAATAATACATTAAGAAGGGAAGTACTTTCCTTCAATCAAATTCCTTGCAAAACTAGTTTATGGCAAGGCAAAGACACACCTTACACAAGCAATATTACAAATTATGGTTCTAATTTTAATAAAAATTAAAGAAAAAACAGTTTTTCATGGAAAATCTAATTAGTTTGAATTAAAGGAAGAAGAAAAATAAAATAAAATAAAATAAAATCAATGAAATAAAACAAAAAAAAAAAAAAAAAAAAAAAAAAAAACTCTCTTCTGATCAAATGGTTAGTATAACATGTATTTCTTGTTATATTAATATATTTATTAAGGTCCCAAAGACTAGGTATAATTTAATTCATAGAAGAAATATTCTAACTGAGACAATTGATCTCTAGCGTGCAAGTAATTGGGATAAACATTGTGCCACAAAATGAGGTGATATTATATCCATATTGGTCAACTTAAATAAAATTAATATTGGAAAAAATCAAAAAAATAAAGTACTTGAAGGAAGAAAAATATAAATATAAATATAAATATATATATATATATATTTATTTATTTATTTGTTGACTATTATGCTTTGTAGCAATAAGTAAATCAAAAGAGGTTGTTGAATGATGGAGGTATTGCACCATTTACTTTTCACAGTAAAGTGTGATTTCACGCATGTCAAAACAAATTACAAATTATGTTAGCATTTCAAATGCAGTCCACAGCTTGAGGATGTATTACTGGCGATGCACCGCTTGTTCATTCCCATCGCATCGTTCGACCTTGCACTGTTTGATAAATATAGGAAGAGCAGACAAAAGGTCATGGATGGATGGTCTCCTGGCCATGCATTGAGGCAGGATGATCTGTGCACTCCAAATGTGATGAACTAACGACAACTCCTTCGTTTCATTGTCATAGGTCACGTCAATTTCTCGACATCCTCACGGCTTAGCAGGGTTTTTGCCTGGTCAAACGCAGAATCCGTCAGGGATGTTCATTTCTAATAAAACCCACTCCACCAAAATACAAGGGTGCAAATTCAGTAAAGAAAATGACCTGAGAGAACTGTCAAGGTGCGGGTTGTACTCGACCAAGCCGATTGGTCTACACGTGCTTGCCTTCAGATTTAACATTCTTGTCGTTTGAGAAGACCGAGTTCTGAAAAGGTGGTGACGGTCATCGTTACTTTCGGGGACACGGGATAGCATGTGGTCTACGTGAGTACTAAACCCCCAGAATGAGCATCGTCACTGGTGAGATGAGAGCAGCGCATTCTTCTTACCTCTAGAAGGGCCACCGAGTCAGAAGCTTGAACCAAGATGTCTTCAGTCTCTCAACTGTGACATATTGGGATGAGGGGAGAAGCAGGTATTTCATATGCAGACAACAATTCCAATTCAAACAGAGCACATTCATGATCAGAAAACATGATTTTGGAATGATATCAGTACTTGAGTCGCTGCTCTACCATCTCGTCAACATCCACCCGTAATGTGCG